ACTTTGCGCCCACTCGGTCGAAAGTGTTTCCCGCCTTCTCAAATAAACACTCAAGTCTGCAACGGGGGCTCTGCCGGCAAGGTGACAAACGCTCTCCGAGGAAAACAACCCGCAGTTTTGGCACCGTTCCTCGCTTTAGCCGCCAGATGGTAAATGGGCTCTCCCGCAAGAAAGCGTGTGCAATATTCCGGAAATTAGCATGACGGATGTCGCGGGGTGAATGCTCGTCCATCACGGCTTAATTATTGTTTTTACTATTGAGTCTTTTGCATCCTACTTTGTTTTGTTTTGTTTTTTTTTCCATGTAAAATCATTCATTGCATTGCAGGCTTGTGTTTGTGTGCGCGGGTGTGTTTTCAAAGCACACGCTGTAATTAACTGAGAGACTCCGAGTGACCCGGTTCAGACCGAGGCACAGTTGCGGTCAATTGCAGTCGATGAACTAATGAATGGTGGTCGCAGCCGGACAAAAGTATTGGGACTTGGCCTACAAAATTTGCATTGTGGGCAAACAAACGGTGGCTGCTCTGCGATGGCCGATACGTTTGGAGCGGGGGAAAAAATGTTGGGAGTCTACAATCCGGCAATTCAGAAAATCGAGAACAGGTAATACCTCTGGAAAAATCCAATAGTTGTTTATTCTGTTGGTTCGTTTGCAGCACCGGGTTGGGCGTTGGCGGTGGCGCCCTTGAGTGGTTTAGGTCCATTTTGGCTAACAGAACCTTGTGTGTTAGCCTTGGTTGCTCCGAGTCATGAGCTGCCCTGCTGTCGTGTGGTGTTCCACAGGGCTCAATTCTGGGGCCTCTGCTGCTCTCAGAGTATCTGCTCGCATTGGGTTCCATCTTAAGGAAACATGCTATTTCCTTCCTTTCCAGATCTATGTCCCGCTGAGCAAAAAAGACTCTTTGTCATTGAGGCAGCCATTTTTATCCTGTCTGGAGGAAATCAAGACCTTTGGAAAAAGATCAATGTGTCTTCTATTTGTTGCATGCGCCTTTGTGTGATAAAACGCAATGGTTATCAAGTTTGTTCTGTTAAGGGGATTTACATTTCGGATTGTTTCGGTGCCAAACACACTTGCCAAGACACAAATTCACGTCTGTCTGGATTTTCATCGACGACATATTCGTGTCTGTAAGTGATTCATCCATCTTCTTTCCATTTAGCAAGGGGGGGGGTGCTAATTCCCCATCAGCTCCGATGGCTAAGATATGCTTGTGTTCGTCACCATGCGTTGCTTTCAGCCATCGCCCGCAAAGAGGTAGATCTCACGCCTCCTCTGTTATCTCGCCTTGCTTGTCTTTTTTTTTTTTTTTTTTTTAAGGAAAGAAGCTTCACATAGACAACAAGCAACGGCGCGGATATAAGACGGCGGCGGAATGAAAAGATGGATGGCAGCGGAGCGCGACTGCAGGCGCTGTGAATTTACAATCTGTCGCAATGCACCCGAACGCGCCGCCAACATCGATGACATCGCGGTTGCCGTCCTGCCTCCTCCTCGCTGTCACGCTGAGGGGAAAGCGGTAGAAACAATCAAGTGCTTTCCTCCCAGGGCCGCCAGTCGATATTCCACCCGCCTTGAAGCGCAGCTATTTATTAGGACGCGCTGCCCCCTTTTGGCTTGGATGACTTCACGCTGGGAGATTACAGTGTGACTTTGAAGTCATTTTCCAGTGTGAAAAGAACTCTTTCTGGCCCCCTTAATTTGGGGACCAAATGCAGTGATCATTTTTTTTTTTTTAAAGTTCCCTGTCGCATTCATTTCTAAAAATGACTCCAATGAACTCATGCCCATATAGGCTGAATTGCAAGTTCAGTGAGCATGCACGCTTGCCAATCCAATTTTAGTTTGCCTTTACCGGAAAAAGAATGTGGCGGGAACTCCAGCTTTTCTTTTTTTGGGGGCCCGCCTGCGCTAACTAACCCAACGTCCTCCTCTGCCTTCATGGCCCACTGCTCCTCATGCTCCTCGTGCGCCTCTTGCTCCTGACCCACTTCCCTAATTGGATGCTGCCCGCAACACGCTCCGAGCCTCAAAACAAAACCCCCCAAAAATGTGCTTTCCCACACAGAATCCCTGCAGATTCATATCATCATCGTCCGCAGTCTTGGCATTCTCAAGAGTCCTGTTGGATGACGTAGGGGTGGGCGAGGATATGTGGTGGGGACCCCCTCTGGGCCAATAGCGACCTTATTTTAAGGTGTGGGTTTCTTCCGGAGGCTGCCGATACCGGCCACCGGTACTTAAGGGCCAAATAGGAAGTTCCACAAACTCAAATCCTCCTTTTATATTTTTGTTATTTTTCAGTGTGCGTTAGCACGAAAGGAAACGACGCGTTTACGATTTCCTTCCGTGCAGAAAAGATGCCTCAGCGTCACAAATGAGAGCATTTAGCGGCGCAGCGGGCGCAGTCGCTGGATGACAACAAAGGAAAAGGGGAAGATGATTCCCAAATGGCCCTAAACTGTCCTCATTTGCCTTCCGGTAAGGATTAGTCGTCTCGCCCGCTGCGCTGAGGCCGGCAGAGGTGTCCCTGGAGGTGTCGCTTTGGGAGGGGGAAGAAAAAAAGACGACATTTAGTCTCTACCCACAATCCCCTGGGGGATTTGAAATGTGTGTTATCATATGGGCATGCTATGAAGAGAAGTCCTTGGAGCAAACAAATTTAAAAAAGGGTTCAAACATCAACATATGATTTTTATTTTTGACTCATTCTATAATCGAAAGTGTTTCAATGTCGTTTCAATTCTTTTGAGCCTGTCGTTTGCGCCTGCGAGGTCCAGGAATGATCCTTCGCTTTGGTTCTCATGCGGGAATTGTGGTCGGGGTGGGGGGTGGGGAAACCAGACCCGACATGTCAGGTTGACACCTTCCTCCGATCCGCGTGTCCGTCCCGCCGCGCCAGGAAATGTGACCTCTGCCCTCCGTCACATCACGGCTGTCTCCTGGCGGGAACGTCCCGGAGTGGTTTCCACTTGAAGCCGGCGTCTGATTGGATGAGCGCTTGAAAGTCAGCGGCACACCTGACACCTCCATTAAGGGCCCGGCTGACAGGGTGCGCCGTCACCGTCACAGTCGGCGCCGCCCGAGAGCCCGACCCTAACAACAATCTCGCCGCCTCAACCTCCGTCAGCATCTGAGCTGTCAGGGGCCGGAATGTTGCCGCCCTCGCCGCCGAGGTGCTGACGGCGGCGAAAAGAATATGAACGTCTTAACTGCTCAGAGATGCTACTGTCAGGGCTTCTCATCCTTAACATTGTTACCTCCCCCAAGGAGCTTTTGTGTTCGTTGCCGCGTGCAACTTGCAGTTGGAAAATAACTTGAGAAAATTGGACAGTGCTGTGCAATAAGGTCTTGTTTGACTCTGAAAATGGGGAAAATCACTTTGGGCCGTTGGACACTGGTCTGGAAAAATATTTCCTTGATTACAGAATGAGCAAAGCTTGCCTCGATTTTTGTGAGCCAAAAATGGTGCCCAAGTCAGGAATAAGACTCATTTTACTCTGTCTTTTGATCATTGGACATTTAGCGATCGAGACTGAGAATTGATTGAGAACAGCAAAAAGGACGTTTCGTCTTTGGAAAGCGGTTTGGAATTTCTCGGGCCGAAGGGGTCAAATGTCTCCTTGCACCGCTGCCTCACGCGACGCCACCGCAGATGTGCCCGAAAACGGTTGCGGAGCTGGCAGCCGTCAGAGCGGTGAACTTCAGTCGAAGCTCGGTGAGCCCGTTGACCCCCCAAGCGCCTTGCTTGTCGCGCGCTCACACGAAAAGCTGCAGCCGCCCCGTCCGATGTTCCACATCGTGTGCAATTGCGTCATGACGATTGTTTGCCGTGCTTTTTCGGCGCCACCTTTTGTGCGAAGAGAGGTCGGGGTTTTTTTTCTCTTTTTTTTATTTTTTCACGGTCGTCTTTACGTCAGCATCAATTGCACCATTTTCAACATTTCCTATTTTTGGAAGCGTTCCGACAACGCCCGATACAACAGCAAGCTGTATTTGGGTTTTTGAGGCAGCAAACGAATTGAAAGGAGAACTGGCTTGAAAATGACAGATTGATTGATTATTCCGATCACTGCGTGGGACAGCAGTTAGCCGCGCCGCTGCAAGGGGGAATCGCCTCGCGCTCGCCCATCCAGGCGTGCGACCGCGAGGGTCTTTTGATTGTGTTTGTGCTTCCCTTACATCGAGGCCCGCTGAGCCAATCGCGGCGCAATCGCCTGTTGCCATGACAACTTCCCGTTAATATTCCAGGAGAGTTTTCTCACCGGTGAGGGCGGGCAGCGGCGAAGGGGGCTTCGGAGGGATTGCCGCACTCCTCCTGCAGAGAATCGATTCCTGCAGGCGGGAAAAAAAAAAAAAAAAAGAAAGGCCGCGCGTTTGATGCGCTCGCGAGTCGCACGCCTTCGAGACGGCGGATCGATGTGACCCAATTGACCCTCGTGAGGATTATCGCCTCTGTAATGCCGGCGAAAAAAAAGGATTTCTGTCTCTTTGTGTTCAATGGGACAATGTGAACGCATGGCGCCGACATTCCGCCGGGATTGGCTCGCCATCACATTGAAGCTCGGGAAAGTGCGATTGTACCCGTGCCCTTCATCCCTGCATGAATGACAAAGGGGCTTTAAAAAAAATACAAATAAAAAATCACCCCCAAAGCCACTTTGAACGAGGTTTGTATACGGCGAGCAGAGCCGCTCACAAGTCATTTGCAGCCGGTATTGCTTTGAAAATTCAGCCGCGGAAACATCTTGCGCTGATCAACATGGTCGGTGTGTTTGTCGTGAAGAGACCCACCGTTGGCAGGCAAGACGGAGGCCCTCGTGCCGATTTTTGCGCTCGGAGAGAAGGTACGTACCAACGGTTGCGCGGTCTCGCGTGGCTTCTCTCCCGCGAGGCCTCACGGAGAGCCGCAAAGGGAATTCTGTGGGAAAGCATTGTGGCGCTTGCCAGCGAGCCAGTCTTGCCGTTGCCGACTTGGTCCCTGGCGTCTCCGCAGGTGTGCTGAGCCTACCCGAGAGTCTGAACCTCCACCGGGATCAGCAGCGGCGCTCGAGCCGAGGCGAAGGTCACGGCTGCTGCGCTCCAGCCGAACTCCGCACGGTGGAACAGTCGCTCCTCGCCACGCGGGTGGGAAGCATCGGCGAGCTGAGTGAGTACCTCGCGTGCGCCCGTGACATTCAAGAGTGAAAACTGCCGATGTGAAGAGACTTTTTCCTCGCGTCATTCTCCGACGACTGCTTTTATTTAAAGCAGCGCGGCGGCGGCGGCGTCTCCATGATCCGCAGGTTCTCGTTTGATGGTAATGGCTTCTTCGTCTTCTAATGGACGAGCTTCTCAACCCGCAGACAGCCAAAAGATTCATCGGCGTGCGTCGCCTTTCATCTCCCGGCCATCTATTTTTCATTTTCGGAGACTTCCTACGCCGCCACGCTTCATTTTTTTCTTGCCGTGACGCATTGAGAATGAAGGCGATGTCGAATCGAGTGAACCCGAGCCTGACGAGATGCGCTCACTTTGACGACGGGTGACATTTGGAGTCCAGCGATTTGACTTTGCTATTTTACAGCCTGTCATCGAACTTTGCCGTGATAACAACCTCCTCCAAAAATCTGCAGGGATCAAGTCAGAATATGCCAATTAAAAAAGTCAGCATTTTACACAAACTAATGTTGGACTGGGAGAACAAAAGCATGTCATTTCAAAAGAACAGAATGTTCATAATTCTGAGAAAATAGTCATTGTTTGACAAGAGTAAAGTTGGCATGATTGTGCTGAAATGAGAGAAGCTTGGCAGTCCAGTTGGACGGGAATCAAAATGCAAACACCACTCGGAATAAGACGTGAGCCACCTCCCGTCTCCTCTTCGCCATGACGGATTCCCGTTTCAGGAACTCATGATGACGACGATGAAGATGTGTTGTAATTGAGCGTGATGAATATTTCCAGCTGAGGGGGTCCGGCTGATTAAATGCGGCGGTGGTGGCGTGCGGGGCCGCCAACAGGGCGGCGGCGGCGGCGGGATCTTGGCCTCTTGCGCTCGGGTCGCCTCATTTTGTCAGCAGGAATTACATGCTTGCTTATTGACCCCATCACACACAGACACACACACTTCAATTCAATTGAGCCACTGAGAGCTACAAAAGTGAGCCAACTCCATTTGTGCAATAGTGGTCTAAATCATATACAGCGTGTGTGTGTGTGTGTGTGTGTGTGTGTGTGTGTGTGTGTGTGTGTGTGTGTGTGTTTCTCTCTCGTTCTCTCTCTCTCTGGGTGGATGCATACGTACATATACTGTGTAGCTGAGCTAGTCAGAGCACACCCCCCCCCAAAAAAAAAAAAAAAACAAGCAACGACAGCAGCAGATTTAATGAAGTGACACGAAGGCGCTTCATCAAGGGAGGCATTCGCAGTTTGTCTCTCCCTTCCCCCGCCTCCATCCCCCTGCCGCTTCTCGGCTTGCCAGGCTTGGATGCGTTCCACACACGCCGCTCTCACTCGCGTTCTCTCTTTTCTTTTGTCCTCTTTATCTTCACGCCGGGCCCGCTTGCTGGAGAGCAGGCGTGACCGACAACCTTCAGCAATTCCAAGAAACCAAAACAAAAGATCAAATGCAATCGACGTCGCCTTCAACGTTTTCCCTGCAAACTTCCATTTTGATCTCAACACGTCCGCCACTTCTGACGGGCTGGCAGGTGAAATGGGAGGGGCCCTCACCTGAGTTCCGTCTTGTCTTCTCAGGTGATTTGGTGTCACGAGCCATGCACCACCTGCAGCCTCTGCACGTGAAGAACGCCACCCACGGCGCCCCGCTCCACACGAGCACTGGCGGCGGCAGCGGCGGCTCGGGCGCGGCGGCCTGCGCCGGCGTCCATTGGGAGCCCGAGGCACTACACACCTTGTGCTACTTCATGCACTGCCCGCAGATGGAGTGGGAGAACCCCAACGTGGAGCCTTCCAAGGTCACCCTGCACACCGAGAGGTACTTTTTGTGTCCGCCATCCGCGTGCCGATCGATGCCTCTGATTTCCGATGACACCTGCCCGGCACCTGTGGAGGGTTGCGCTCAGTCAATAGAAGAGAAGAGGAGCAGGATGCTCGTGAATGCTCGATTACACGGCGCGCAAGTGTAAAATGAATTGAAGATGAGAAAATAAATGGAAGTCGGCGATGAAGGGCAATTCCAGATGAGGCCCGACTTACTTCCAGGTCGACCTCGTTTGAACGGCGGACGCAGCCAAAATACACAAATAGTGGCGGGAACGTGTTTTGCCAGGGCGTTGCGACTTGTTGCGCATTCGGATCATGCGCTGATTGACGGGCGCGCTCTGGCGCCCCCGCAGGCCGTTCCTGGTGCTGCCGCCGCTGATGGAGTGGATTCGGGTGGCGGTGGCGCACGCCGAGCACCGGCGCAGCCCGGCGGTGGACAGCGACGACGTGCGGCAGGCCGCCCGACTCCTGCTGCCCGGCGTCGACTGCGAGCCCCGACAAATCAGGTGAGAGCGCCGCGCCTCGCCGCACGAGACCGAAGGAGCCAGGCTGGCTTTTGGGATTCATGTCAATCATTGAATCGAGGTTCACACTGGAACGTGTTTTTCTGACCGAGGTGAATGAGTAAAACCGGCGCGGGAACGATTGCCGTTAAGTCGAGCGCACTGCTTCTTGCGAATTTTGTTCCCGCGCGCAGAGCGGAGGATTGTTTCTGCGGCGCCCGCAAGCTGGACGCCGCCTCCGCCGAGGCCAAGTTCCTGCAGGACCTGGGCTTCCGAATGCTCAACTGCGGACGCGCCGACCTCGTCAAGCAGGCCGTCAACCTGCTGGGACCCGACGGCGTCAACAGCGTCAGCGAGCAGGTACCGGCCCACCGCCGGCCTTCCGGGAAATCGCTCTCGGAGTAGAAACGGCAACTCGACGCGTTCTGTTTGTTGAAGGTAGAGATGTTTTGGGGGGGCGGGGCTCGCAGCATGTCTCGGTGGAAGGAAGGCCATCGTCATCTGCGCCGTTGTGTCTCAGCTTTGCGTTCCCGCTTTCTGTTTGGCTTGGGAAACGGAGCCGTGAAGAGTTGAGAGCGCAAAGCATCTTCTGCCAACATACGCGGCGCCAAGTGGCCGTCTCCCACGCAAACAAGTGTTCGTCTGCCCGGGCCTTTGGGTGCGAGGCGCCGTGTTGAGCAGAAGGCCCGATTAACCGTTCGCTTTGAGAGACGGGCGCCTCCTCTCACCGCTTATTCGCCACAAGTGCCGCCTTGAAGGCCACTGACAGGCCGGCAAATCCCTTTTCGGGACGTTGACAAAAAAAAATGAATGCGACATCACTTTACAGGGAAAGCAATGAGTTTTTCCGAATTTCACAAAAGAAAAACTCATCTTTTTACATCTGTAATTATGTCCACATGTGTATGTGTGTGGAAAAAGTACAACAATATTGTTGTGTTCCAGGGAATGACGCCCCTGATGTACGCGTGCGTGCGCGGCGACGAAGCCACGGTCCAAATGCTTCTGGACGCCGGCGCCGACATCAACGGCGAAGTGAGTGGCTTGGCCGGCGCGCTCGCCACTTGCTGCTTTCTGGCCTCGCGCTGCGCGCACCATCGCTGAAGCCGCAGCGATGAGGATGAGACTGCCACGGCTCCGCCGCGGGGGGGAGGGGGGCTTTTTTGTTTGTTTTGCCGCTCATCAATAATGCATGCCGCTGGTTCCTGAAGAGAGAGCGCATGACTCACCCCCGCAGTCCAGCGAGCACGCCGCACGTTTAACGAGTTCGATCTGCTTAACGAGTCAGTGGACCTCCGTCGCGACCACGAACGCCGTCAGCTCATCCTCGACTTCACCAAAGCCGCAGTTCACCCAAAACGCATTCAAATCACTCAATTTTTAATGCAAATTCAGCCCCTGAATTTTTTTTTTCTAAAAGAGCCTTTGAACGCATGGCATGGTGTCGCCTGACTAGGCTGAACATTTTTTTTTTGCAATGCTAATCTTCTTTGCGCCGGCTTCATAAGCCACTAACTCACTTCAAAGTCGACGTAACCCCTGGCAACCGCGTTTCTGCTACTCGAAAGGACACCCAATTACTTCCTGCAACTGCACTGCTTGTATAATGTGACTTCCCAGGTGCCCGCCACAGTGCGCAAGCATCCGTCCGTTTACCCCGACGCACGCGGCGGGACGCCACTCACGTTCGCCGTCTTGCACGGACGCGCGCCCGTCGTGCAGGTAGTGATGCCCCCCCCCCCCCAAAATAAGAAATCGGGGAAAAGTAAAAACAACCATGTGTTATAATATGCATCTTTAGCGTATTCCTAATGCGTCCATCGTGTGTCCATCATTCCATACTCACTGATGGCAGCGCTTCCAGAGTATTCCACAAGTGTCGGAAAATGCCCACGTTTGTGTTTTTCCTCTCCTCTGACCCCGATCAGTTGTTGCTGGACAACAGCGCCGGCGTGGAGGGGTCGCTGCAGGACGGGGCCGACAACTACACGGAGACGCCGCTCCAGCTGGCCTCCGCTGCAGGTCCACAATGCAATCACGCCGACATTCAACGGAGCGCCCCCCCGCGTTTCCGTTCGCCGCCTTGTTCGTTTACTTTGAAGCTGCTGAAGAGGATAGCGACTGACGTAGATGGCATTAAGATTTGAACAACTAAATCGCGTACGTTGACTGATTTGATGTGTTTTGTGATTTTTGTTTTTGTTTGCTCTTCTGAGCAGGCAACTTTGAGCTGGTGAGTCTCCTCCTGGAGCGAGGCGCCGACCCCATGATCGGCACCGCGTGCCGCAATGGCATCTCGGCGGCGCCGCTTGGCGACATGAACTCCTTCAGCCTGGCGGCGGCGCACGGACACAGGTTGCACCTGGAAAAGACACCAATCATACATACACAATGTGTGTGTGTGTGTGTGTGTGTGTGTGTGTGTGTGTGTGTGTGTGTGTGTGTGTGTGTGTGTGTGTGTGTGTGTGTGTGTGTGTGTTGAATGTTTTTGTTTTTCCTCCAATGACAACGGGACTCACTCTGCGTTTGTAGGAACGTGTTCCGGAAGCTCGTGTCCCAGTCGGAGAAGGACAAGGGTGATGTCCTTTCGCTGGAGGAGATCTTGGCCGAGGGTTCGGCGCCAGGCCCGCAAAAGGCTTCGTCCCCGCAGGCCAACGGCGGCGGCGGCGGCGGCGGGACGCTACGAACAGGAAAGGCCAAGCTGCGCGCCCTGAAAGAGGCCATGTACCATAGCGCCGAGCACGGCCATGTGGACATCACCATCGACATCCGCAGCTTAGGTCAGACTCACTCGCAGCTGCATCGCCGCGCACGCACGCACGCGCCCGCACGCGTACGACACGAACGATGCGCCTCCAGATACGAGAGAGGCCACCACCACGTTTTCCTGCTTTGACTTGAGAGTGTCAGTCCACAATTTCTTTCCAGCTTAAAGCTAGCAAGCACTGCCAAACGCCATAGATGGGCTATCTTCACAAATGATGGCGCAACGCATGCGGCTGTTCATTCCACTGGGAAAAGTTGCTTTGAGATACGAGCATGTCGCGTGTGAGCTGCGCTCGTAATTCAAGGCAGCGCTGTCATCTCATCATCGTCACCGCACTGCTTTTCATTCTTCACCTGACGGAAGCGACACTCGCATTCACTTTATCGGAACATTCTCTCATTCATTCGGTCAGGGGGAGGTAACTCCGCCCCCCCCAAAAAAATGTGGTCAAGACAAATTAATCGATGAATCGACAACTAATTGATGATCAAATTCATCGATCATTATTTTGATTCCAACTTTTGAAATTGTCCAGACGCTCAGAATGTCAGCTTCTCAACAGTAAATATTGTCCAATTTCCATAGCAGTTGATTATTCAATTGCGTGCTCGTGGCAGCCCGACTCCAGAGTTCATTTTCATTTTTGTCAATAAATTGAGTGGTCCTGTTGAAAAATTGGAGGTCATTTAAAAAGGAAGGAAAAAAAAACAGACCTTGAACTTCCCCGCTCACGTTCACTCGCCAACATCATCAAGCGATGGAAACATGGCCGCCCTTGACAGCGCTTGCGCGTGCTTGCGCGTGGATGGATGAATGACCGTGCGCTTGTGACTGCTGCGCTCAGGCGTTCCGTGGACGCTGCACACGTGGCTGGAGTCGCTGCGGACGGGCTTCGCGCAGCAGCGTCGTCCGCTGATCCAGGCTCTGCTCAAGGACTTCAGCTGCATCCGTGAGGACGAGTACACCGAGGAGCTGCTCACGCACGGCCTGCCGCTCATGTTCCGCATCCTCGGATCCTGCAAGGTCCTCCCTCGTGAAAAAAAAAAAAAAAAAGTCAAGGAAAAGTCCCCATTTTACACCATGAAGAAGTCATTATTTTACAAGTTGTGAAAAAGTCATCATTTTATGAGGAAAAAAAAAGTCTCCAGACATAAAACAACATCACATTTTGTGCCCCAATGCAAGCGGACTACGACATTTAAACAGAACACTAGACACTGTTTTTCCGAACGAAGTCTCGAACTGTGTTTGCGTGTGTGTGTGTGTAGAACGAGGTGATCAGCCAGCAGCTGTCGATGATCTTCACGCAGTGCTACGGTCCGTTTCCCATCCCCAAGCTCGCGGAGATCAAGAAGAAGCAGGCTTCGCGTTTAGGTGACACATCGAGAAGGCCCTTACGAAATACTTCATCAACACATCGATCTGGACTGTGTTTGTTGTGGCGGACTGACGACTTGAAGATGCTCATTTTTGGCTCGCCGTCATCGCTTCTGAGATGACGAAGGCGCCTTAAATGTCACTGCGCTCTTTTGGAGCAAAATAGCATTTTTCCCTCAAATTTTTTTCTTTTTTAAATATCTATCGAGCCGCTCTGAAGTGCACTCCAATTGCTGGGTTGATTTTTTTTTTTTTTTTCCCCGATATGCCATTAGCAGAGCGTGGCGCCAAAGTTGGATGACTCACCATAAAACAGGAAAGCGCATTTACTGTCGTTTAGTCACCGCTCACAATTTGCAGATTCTAATTGTTGTGTTTTGCTAACGCATCTGTGTCGGCGCGCTTGACGAGCCGCGTCACGAAGGAGCACATCAGTGTCGTCCGGTGCTGCGCTCAGCATTCGGACGAGATGACTAATGAGGCGTTTTGTGTGGTCGTATGGGCAGACCCGCACTTCCTCAACAACAAGGAGATGTCGGACGTCACCTTCCTGGTGGAGGGCAAACCCTTTTATGCACACAAAGTTCTGCTTTTCACCGCATCGCCCAGGTAAGGGCTTTTTTGTGGTTGTTTGTTTTGCGTTTGCTGATGATCATGAGGGGAAAAAAAGAAGATGAAATACTTTCAGGTTTAAGTCGCTGCTGCAAAACCGACCGGCGGCTGAGAACACCTGCATCGAAATCAGCCACGTCAAGTATAACATATTCCACGTAAGACGAAGAGGATAAGGAAAGGAGGGAGGAAGGGGGGGGGCAGTGTGGCAAGCAGGCACCCCAACAGCACAGAAATGCTGATCTTGTTTTTTTTTCTGTCCGATGTTCCAGTTGGTCATGCAGTATCTCTACTGTGGAGGCACCGAGTTCTTGCACATACGAAACACGGAAGTCATGGAGGTACGCCGCTTTGGGTTACGTGAGCATCCGCGAGCTGGAGTTAGCGCTCGCCACTGAGACGGCCGCGTGTGTCCCGCAGCTCCTGTCCGCCTCCAAGTTCTTCCAACTAGAGGCCCTTCAGAGACACTGTGAGATCATCTGCTCCAAGAACATCACCACAGAGACCTGCGTGGACCTCTACAAGCACGCCAAGGTCAGACCACAGCCAAAATATTGCCAACCCGATATGCCCGCTGGACCAAATTTGCAGCCATATATTGTACTTTATCCAGCAATCGCCCCCCAAATACTTGAGACTATTTTTTTTGTAAAATCGGAATATGTTCTCGCGCGCTGCTTTCACCCCACGCACGAAATGACCTCTGTTCTTCCTAAAAAATCCAAATGTTGCTTTCTTACGTGGAATTTGTGTCCGCTGTGCAGTTCCTGGGCGCCTCGGAGCTGACGCGCTTCATCGAGGGCTACTTCTTGAAGAACATGGCGCTGCTGGTGGAGCTGGACGCCTTCAAGCAGCTTCTGTACGAGCCGTCACCGCCGGCCCCCACGTCCCCCTCGCCCGATCCCGCCGTCCTCTGCTCGGACATCCTGCACGACCTGGAGAAGACGCTGGCCTCCCGCGTCCACTCCATCCACTTGTCCACCTCCAAAGGCTCGGTGGTGTGACGTGGCTTTTTGGGACCGCGAGGGATAAGTAGCAAAGCCAGCAAAAGGAACCGCGTTACCAAAATCCTCCCACCCGGATTTTTTTGCATGAGGCCCTTTTATGCACGGCCTTCCCACCGAGGAAGTGCAGGACGCCATTGAAATAATGCAAAGTGTAAATAGAGCCACGTTTGTTCTCGTGTCCAACTCTGTCATCTCGCCCTCGAACGTGCGCGTTGCACATTTGTAGCCGGCCGCTCGCTGTCTTGCTTTTAGCGGCGCATTTTCTCCTCCGTAATATTCCACTTGGTCGAAATCGAGCAAAAGACCTGACGAGGGATTGAAAGGTGTCGGGGAATACGGGACTGACTGATCAGCAGGTGTACCTAATGAAGTGGCTCCATAGGACAGTAAAACGTTTCACAAATATTTTTTTGTTATCGTATTTACAGTCTGTGCAATCTGGAATTTGGCAGCGATCACGAGTAGACCTACACAAAAGGTTTCAAGAAGCCGTGTCTGAAAACACACAGGAAGTGGCTGTCGGATTCAAACCTTTCACAAATGGTACAGTGCATAATTATTCTTTTGTTTCGTAAAAATGATCCAATAAGCGACGTGTCCAGCAGACAACCAAAAAAAATAATAGTCATGCAGTCCTGTACTACTATTTACTGTAGGCATTTAAATGATGTAAATAATAGTGACAGAAATCCTATATTATTTCTTTATTTTCTTACACAGAGCCCCGTAGATGTCATTTGAATCTAGTTTGTTGATATGCATATAAAAAGGATCCTATTAAGAGCAATATTTCAACAAGAGTGTATATTTCCTGGTAATATGACAGCAGCAGAGAAGAGCCAGCATTGAAGATGAATGAGGGAAGAAAAGGGAAGAATGAACTATTTTTTTAAATTGAAAAGCCACCTATGTCTTGAAAGCTCGTGTTGGAATGAAGTTGTCTCAACGTCTTCTAATGATGTCAGCACTTTTTGTGTGCACGTATTGTCACTGCACAATTACATTTTGTTTTGAGGAAACACTGCTTTGCCGCATTACCGCTTTTGCTCCTGCAGAGGCGCCAGTGAGTCGTTGTAGCCGGAGCCAATGACTTCCTTTTTCTTGTAGAACGACGCCCCCTGTTGTTGGGAGGCTGCGTGTACAATTAGGCGGCCTTATGCTGTGCTCGCTTGCGCCTCTGCCGGTGCCCCGTTGCTATTGCTAAAAGTGGTGCTAAAGAGTTCGTGTGGACCCACGTGGTTCTGTTGTTGCCAATGCACTTTCTTTGTCTTGTTTTCCTGTTCGTTTGTCCCGCTGATACTTTGCCTGCTAAAATGTTCACATTAGTTCCCCTTAGAATAAAAAAAAAGTCTGTAAAAGTGAAGCCCTGTGAATACTTTCCAGATGCACTCATTCACAGAGCTTCACTTTTTCGAGTTTCAGGGGAAAAAATGATTTTACCAGGCCCTCAAAGGGGCCTTTTTAAACCCTTGCCTTGAAAAGAATGATTGGTGAGATATACAGGTATATATGGAAGTCTAATTGAGACACCGTGTAAGAAGCAAGAATGTAGTTGAGTTCAGCAGCAGCAAAGGTTACACTCGTGCGCCACGTTTCATGTTTCTGTGAACAGACAATAAATGACCACATTTTCATCGACATGTTGCAGTCTATTCACTTTCTATGCATGATGCACTTTTCTGCCTTCCTTCCTTCCTTAACTGCTTGCTTCCACCCCAGTCCTGCTTTTATTCAAATTACCCTCTTTTCCACCATCCTTCCATCCTTTAGACCTGCTTTTTATTTTGCACCCCGACTTCCAGTACTTCCTTAGAATCATTTTTACTCAATTTATTTTCCATTATTTACGGTATCTTCGTTTAAAATTGGTTATTTGAAAAGGTGCGAAAGCATGTTGCAACGTTTCGAGAACAAGGGCTGCAATGCCCCAAATGGTTTGCAGGCGGCAGTGCTTATTCACTTCGCCACATAAATCCCAAGCAAAGAAGAGCCGTCATGGCTTTTTTTTCCTCCCTTACTTTCGCGAAGGGCAAGAACATTTGCTAATGTACCGCTTCGTGGCGCTTTCAATCTTTTGTCATGTAAACGATAGATTATAAAACCCTAGTCGACTCGATAATTATTTCAGTTCAACGTTATAAATGTTCAGAGACGGCTGATCGAGGACGAGAGAAATCATTTTAGGACGACGCCTGCGCAGTCTGAAGAGAAGATCGAGGCGCCGATTTTTTTACCTACCCGCCAACTGGCACCGCAGAGCCGGGCGGACATTGACTCCCAATCGACCCCCGACTTCGTTTTCGTCGCTTTTTCAAAGACCCCCGCGGCAACATGGACACGTTACAGCACACCGAGAATGGTAAAGCGAATAGAAATGATAAATGCCCCACTCTTGGCGAGTTTCCGGGATTTTGTTTTTCCCTGTGTGCGTCCGATTCGCAACATGGCGTAGCCCGCTGTGAGATGGCGCTGAGCTAACGTGTCCGTTTACTTGGCTGGAAGAAGCCGAGCGACGACTAATTATACAAAATCATCTCAGGATTCATTTCAAATTGTCAACCGGGCTTAACTAGAGGAAACACAGCACCCTCATTTATTATTTTAGGAACTGTTGGTGACTCGACTGGAAACGAGGCATTGTTTCATAACTTCTTTCCCCCAAAATTAAAGGGAGAATCCAAATAGATTATAATATTAAATTCAAAAGCCTGGGTCACGCACAAACGGCGAATTTTGTCACACTAAAGCAGTAAATCGCGTCACCCAATGTTGACGCACAAATGTGACGTCTGTCTTAGTGTTTTAAAATTACCACGTGTTTGTGTGTCCCTGAATGCCGCAGCAGTACAATGACAACCATCTTATTTCGTTGACGATGAATGATATCTGTTTGAATTAAATTCAAAACCCGAACAATAATTTACATATCTGCCGTACAGTTTGGATGTTTGGGGTTCAAATTTTGCCGTCCTGCCTCTCAAGTCTCAAATTGATTACAGTATAGATTGAATGCTTGTTTTTCTATACGTGCCTTGGATTCACTGGCAACCAGTCCAGAGCACCAATACAACCAAACGAAGATAAGCGGTATATAAAATGGGTGTGTGGCGATATATGATTGACTTCTCATGAAATCTTGTTTCTTTGTGTGTCCAGATTCTCCACTCCTGCTGCCGTCCCTGCGCCTCTTCATCCCGCCTCTACGCCTGGTGTCGGCCGCTATGTGGCAGGTGGTGCAGCGTGGCGACGTTTGGGACTACGGCACGGTGGAGGAGTTTGTCACCACTGTCTCTGACATTTTACCCGAGCTCTTAAATGCGGACCAGAAGGCACAGTTGCTGCTGGGGCTGCGGGCACGGGTAGGGTAGAGGCGGGACCACCTTTGAGTGACCCCTTGAGCGTCAGAAATGCTGCCGCTTGAGTGACATGAAAAACAAAAGTGTATTTGGTTGCGTGTTTCAGGTGGTTCTGGAATTGTGTCGATCCAAGTTAGACCCAGAGATGGAAACCATTGAGATGCACTTGAGCCGAATCAAAAGCCTCATATCAACATGGGCAGGGCAGGTTAGCATCCTAAATGGAGATCCAATGAGCATCTTTTTTTTACTGTTCACTTTAAACTGCTCACGCTTGTCTGTCAGCCCTGCTTTGCCGAGGTCCAATTTCCAGAATCCAACTTTGTGGATCAAATCGAGCTGCTCCTGAAAGACCCCGAAGAGAAGGACAAGTTCTTTCGGGTTCGTTTACATTGCTGTCAAAATGTTGGACGGCGAATCAAAAAATATTTACGGGCTGATTTTAAAGCAATCCATCCCTTTGCAGGATGTGTTTCCCTCCGCCTTTGGACCTGAATATGACAGCGCTCTGCAAGTGCTCATGCTGGACTTCCTCTCCAGGCTGGAGAAGCTTCTCCCAGTGCCGGACATTCAGCAGGTACTGGAACCACAGCGGACTGGCCATTTAATCCAGTTGTGCGCAGGTGTTGACATTTTTTTGGGCTGGGTGTGCTTTCTCTCAGACGGCCGCCTTGTTGAGCGCTGCCCCGCAGGCCCTGGATGAGTGCGTCCACTCGGTTCTCGAGCTACCGCACTTGAAGGCGGCCCTCTTGCACCACACTGCGCTCGGTCATTTTGATTTAACCGGTGAGGCTCCTCGGTGGAAGACCCCCCCCCCCCCTAAATGAAAACCATCCATTTTTGACACTTGTCTTTGCACTCCTCCCGATTAGATGACACTCAGAGCATCCTGTCATCCTTCGGGAACTGCATCCTGTCCTCGCTGGCCCTCCCGCAGCTGGAGAAGGTTGTCATCAACGGCGAGCACATCCAGCTGCAGCCGCCCGCCGATCAGATGGCGGGATGCGTCACCGTGCAAGTGGAAGGCGAGACGGTCACACTCTTGGACTACATACAGATTGAACAGACACCTGGCTTGATGGATCCCGCCCCTCAAGAGGAGGACGAGGAAGAAGACGATGAGGGCGAGGAAGCGGAAGGCGAGGCTTCGTTGAAACCGGCTGCCTTCCAGCCGCTCAAGCAAAGCAAGCGTCTGCAGCTGAAGAGGCAAGCGGTCGAGGCGGGGAAGGACGACGACGCCTCCGAGTCGCCCAAGCGTCAGAGGAAGAGGCACCCCACCAACAAGACTTGCCCGGTGTGTGGCAAGAGTTTTCTGCGCGCCGCCGCCATGAGGCGGCACCAGGAGACGCACTCGGAGAACCGCGAGCTCAAGTACAAGTGCGGCCGCTGCAACAAGCGCTTCCGCGACCAGTACGACATGAAGCGGCACAACATGCGCGTCCACGAGCGGGACGATGACAACGCGGACGAGGAGGAGGAGGCGGCGGCGGAGCCCGAATCGCCGGAGATGTCGGACAACAAAAACTGCGCCCTCTGCGGGAAGTACATCGCGCGCAAGGTGGACATGGAGCGCCACATGACGTCGCACTCGGAAGACCGGCCGCACAAGTGCTCCTTCTGCGAGAAGCGGTTCAAGACCCGATACGTCCTCAAGCGACACCAGAAGGAGTTCTGCAAGAGCCAAGAGCTCAAGAGGCCTCTGGCCCAAAGGCGCCAAGAGCAGAGCCTCGACGCGCAGCCGGCCGCCGCGCCCGCGGAGGGCAAAGTCTGCCCCATGTGCAGCCGCACTCTGCCGTGCAGCGCCGACATGGACAAGCACCTGCGCTCGCACACGGAGGAGCGTCCCTTCATCTGCGTCAGCTGCGACAAGGGCTTCAAGTACCGCGACACGCTCAAGAAGCACCAGATCATCCACGGCCACGAGGGCGTGCGCGAGGAGGCCAGCAAGAGCGTGGAGGAGATCCTGGCCGAAGCCGAAAAGAACCCGGAGGACGCCGTCGGGGCCTCCGGGGGCGAGGCCTCCGGGGCGCCGGCACAGCCGGCCGCCCGCCGGGGGCCGCGCGGCAGAGCCCTCAAAACGTGCCCGGTGTGCGCCAGCTCCTTCGACAACGTCAAGACGCTGAACCGCCACATCCAGAGCCACACGGAGGAGCGGCCCTTCCACTGCGTGCACTGCAAGAAGCGCTTCAAGCACCTGCACGGCCTCAAGCGCCACCAGATCTACGCCATCTGCCACAAGAAGACGGCCCGCTGCTCCTGGAAGAAGGAGGCCAAGGCCGGGCCCAGCCACGGCGACGGCCAGCCGCTCCAGATCCCCATGTGGTGCTCCAACTGCGGCAAGCACTTTGACTTGCTGTCGGCCCTCAAGGAGCACCAGGAGAACGTGTGCAAGGTGGACCTGCGCGACGTCATGACGTGCGGCGCCTGCGGCAAGGAGTTCAAGAGCCTCACCATGCTCAAGGTGAGATCACGCCGCACGCACGGAAGCCTTCCCGCGAGCCACGTGTGCGCTTTTGCTTCTTAGATCTCAATTGCGGGTCTTGGATCGACTCGACTGCCATTTCTGTCCTCCGGATTTACTGTTCAGGAACCGAGCCATGTCGCAAATTGCAAAAGTCCCCGAAGGAAGTCATGAGATGGCAGCAAAATAACTTTTTTGTTTTGTTTTGTTTGGCGAGGCTGTCGCCTGACTGAATTAAAGCTCTTCCCTTCAGCAAAGTGTGGTTGCCAAGCGCCAAGATAATCGTGATAATAAGAGTGCCAAATGTCCATATATTTCAGTTCGATGACAGCTTTTTAGCATTTGCACGCAATTTCTCGAGGTGTAATAATGCCAAATGGATTTGGGGGAAAATCTGCCAAATAGCCTCAAAACCCTTCCTATCCCTCTCGTGTTTTACTGAACTGTCTTGCCACGCAGTGGCGAGTCTTTTTTTGGGGGGGGGGATCGGACAGGTAGTGAAATGTCTGCCTCTCTGCAAAGGTGCACCAGAGGATCCACGACCCGCTCTACTGCAAGGAGTGCGGCAAGATCCTGGGCAGCGAGGCGGCCTTCGAGCGGCACCAGCTGATGCACCGGCCCATGGCGTGCACCATGTGCGACAAGAGCTTCACGCTGCTGCGCCGCTTGCGCGAGCACTACGAGAAGCAGCACGCCTTCGTGGGGCCGTACCCGTGCCCGCAGTGCGACAAGAGCTTCTCGCAGCTCTCCTACCTGGCCGTCCACCTGCGCATCCACAAGGGCGAGTTCCCCTTCGCCTGCGACTCGTGCCCGGCGCGCTTCCGCTCGTCCAACTGCCTGACGGTGCACCAGCGCAAGCACACGGGCGAGCGGCCCTTCCTGTGCTGGCAGTGCGGCAAGTGCTACCGCTCGGCCTCCGAGCTCACCGTGCACATGGGCACGCACTCGGAGGAGCGGCCGTGGGCCTGCGCCCAGTGCCCGGCCGCCTACCGCACCAAGCAGCAGCTCGGCAACCACGTGGAGCAGGTGCACATCGGCGTGCGCTACCCGTGCGCCAGCTGCGGCAAGCAGTTCATGAAGGAGACGTCGCTCAAGCGCCACGAGCTCATCCACACGGGCGAGCGGCCGTACCAGTGCACCGTGTGCGGCAAGACCTTCCTCACCGCCAACGAGCTGCGGCTGCACACGCGCTACCACACGGGCGAGCGGCCGTACAAGTGCGACGTGTGCGGCAAGGCCTTCATCCAGTCGGGCTACCTCAAGTCGCACGTGCGCATCCACACGGGCGAGAAGCCCTTCAAGTGCGACGTGTGCCACAAGGCCTTCCGCATGTCCTACCACATGAAGAAGCACCGCCGCACGCACGCCGCCAAGGTGGCCAACAAGGTCAAGACCTACGCTTGCGATCGCTGCGACCTGTCTTTCCTGCACAAGAAGGCGCTGTGGGAGCATTCCGCCGCGCACTCTGTCAAATTGGAGCAAACCTTCACGCAAGTCACTATTGAGTTCCAGTAACCAAAGATGGACGGACCAGCTGTCGCCATGCCCCCCCACCCCACTCCTTATAAATCGCACATGCCTTCAGTTCTTCACTATTTCAAGCTGTAATATTTTCAATAAACCCAACCCAATGTGGAATTTATGCCACTGTACTCTTGTTTTTTTTTTCCCCATTTGTTCACAATTCAGTTTTAAGGCTCAAATGTAGAATTTTTGTCGTCTTAAATTCTAATTTGAGCCCTTTTTTTAATCCCCCAAAATTATGCATTTGTCAAATTCCACTTTAGAGATTTCTTACCTCAAAGTAGAATATATGTCGAAATTTGATTCTGTAAAATAGAAGTAACCCCCCACCCCTCAAAAAATGTATGTAATTGTTAGCTTTTAATCTGTTAAAAGAACAGCAAAAATGGTAAGTATTCCATCTAAAATTATATCATTGTTAAATTCCACTTCAGTAACGCTATCCATTCTAAAGTGTCATTTCAACTTGTTGAATAGATAAAAAACAAAAAAAGATTTATTCGAGAATATGTCTTCGGTATGTCCTGTTATTTCCCTGTCGTGACCAGTCTTCACCAGTAGGTGTCAGCACCACAGCGGAAATCAGCACCAGGCAACTGAGCGTCTGGCGTTGTCGCCCCCTGCTGGAGTCCTGCCACGGTACAAGATGCACCCCCGTGACGCTCAGTTTGTCCTTTTTGTTCTTAGTGTAGAATCTTTCTGCGTGTGTGTCCCGGCTGCGCTTGGCCACGATGACCCTTTTCAATGGCCGCCTTCCGACGTGTCGTCTGCGGCAGCGAGAATGACTCCGCGGAGCCGCTCGCTGTCTAAACCGGAGCTCGGCTGATTTATGCCGGCCTGGAATAGCTTCGGTGTGCGGCTCCGCTGCACGCTGTGAGGTATCACAACACACGCACACATGGGCCTCGTGTATGCGTGCGTTCCTATAAATATTGCAGTATGTCACATAGCCTCTCGAAGCTCACAAAATGGTCGCACGCCAGACTCCAAGCAGTGCACAGATTCATATTCATGAAGGAAATTATTGCATAGCATCTCGGCGCGGAGCGCTGCTACCGCGCACCCGTTCGACAGCACTTGCACTGCTTGCCCTTTTGAACTCCGATTGATTTATGGCTCCACCCGTTCACTTTTTTTTTCTTAACCACTGGTGGCTTTCAGATTTTGATTTTCATTTTTTGAACAAACCTCCGAATTTTTAACACGCTTTTTTGAAAAGCGCACATGAATAACATTGAGCTTCCGCAAACACCGAAAACGTGAGCAGCAAACGCGAGGCTGCCTAACTTGTAGTTGTTCCTTGTTGTTCTCGAGGTGGTTGGCAAAGCATCTTCATGTGCTGCCGACCGCTATTGTCCTTCCATTGCAAGGACGCCGATGTGAATCGGTTTTGGGCCGATGTTGTGAAGTTTGCTGGCGCCATTTAAATAAAAAATTTCACTCCTTTTTTTGTGCGGTTGGATACATGGCCCCAGCCAGCCAGCCACTGTTTCATTTAGTCATTTACATGAAGCCGCCACTCGAATTTTCGCCATACTAGATGAGATTTTAGTGTCACAAGCATCACATTTAATCTGGAGAAGGGAGGATTAATGGCTTTCCTAATCAAGCATCCTCATGTGACCCTGCTTGGGCGCACGGACATAACTGGCACTTTGCATCGTAGAAATCGATAGTTCAACTCAAAATAACACGCACGCACCAAAATTAATTTGCAGCAATTCCCCATAATGCCTGCCGATTTATCTATCAAGATCGAGAGAATATTGTGTTGTGTCGCAGTTTTCAACCAACTAGCTTTTAGCAATCTGCAATCGAACAAGGAATGATTTTTATGTGATCAATTTGTTGTCTTAACTGTCTTCCTATGCAGCATCCGTTTTTTTTTTCAGTACTCTCTAAAGTTGAGTTCAGTTTTGTCCTTCCTAATCAGCATAAGCGCTGAGATCGAAAGCCTCATCTTGATCTTCTACTCAAAAGCCGTGCTAACGTCAAGTCCAAAGTGATGCGACGCCGTCTTTGACTGGCGCCTGTTTGTCATGTCATGACAGTTGTCTAAGCTTCAATTTTTCGACATGTATGTGTCCAGGGGCAGGAAACAGTTGGATGGATGGCTGGATTATTTATGATGAATGCACTTTGCACAAAAGAAATGATGCGCAGTGCCCAAAAAGTCGTGAAGCGCGCGGGCTCGCCACTTGCTGCCAACAGGGTCATCTTGGGATCCCAAAGCAGCTTTCGGTGTCGTCATCATCATCATCATCATCATCATCCATCATCCTCTTCGTCGTCGTGCTCCTGCGCATGCGCTTTGACCCACTTCCCGCCTCGAGCGTGTTTTTGGGCTTCGTGGCCGATGCATGCCGGGAGGGACGCACGCTCGGTCGTCCTGCTTTGCGATTGGCTCTCGCCGTGCCAAGCGTGGCCTCCTCTTTGAAGCCCTGCGTGCGCTGTCATTGCTCAGTGGCGCCCCCTGCGCCCCCCCCCCACGCCACCACCTCGCGCTGCAACATGTGTCAGCTTGCAAGGTGAAACTGACCCGAGATCGGCGTCGTGCGCCGGAACGCCGCTCATGCGCGGCCACGGCGGGCGCGTTTGCGATCATTGAGCATTCGGTCACGGAGCGAAACGTTGTTGTGCGATCAAAACTCGTTCGCTCGACACGAAGAAAGCCTCGCACGGCGAGTCGAGCCTGTTCAGAGAAGCAGAAAAAAAAAACCAAAAAGCAGAAAGAGAGAGAGGGAAAAAAGAGCGAGAATGACGTGATTTGAACGCGTGCCCAAAAATCCTTAATGAATAACTTCGGAGGCGCGCGAGGCTGAACGCCGGCCCAGCTGTTTCCTGCTCCACATGTCTTTGCCGTGTGTGTAATGTTAGATAAATGTGAGGGATTTTCTCGCTAAATCCGTCTCCTGTTCGCTAAATCTCATTTCTCTCCAAAACGAGCGTGCGCAATGGAACAAAAGTGGGGATGTTGAGATGTGACATTGGCCCCCGGTGCGCGCATCTCGTCCGCTTTTTCTGCCCCGCTTGTTGTTCTTCCTTCCTTCCTTCCTTTCTCCTCCTCCTCCTCCTCCTCCTCCTCCTTATTTTCTTTTTCCCTTCTTTTCTCCGTTTTTTAATGACTTGAAACAATTTGACTTCTCGCCGGCGTTTTTTTTTTTTTTTTTTTTTTTTTTTTCTCTTGGTTGCGGAGACCCGCGGGGATGTCCTGCGCTCTTTCCTCCCTCCGGTGGCATTTATGGGACGTCCTCAAGGTAACTCGTACCTGCTCCGCGCGCGCACTTTTCCGATTATTTTCATGATGTGCTTTTATTTTCAGCACATGACATGCGCATCCGTAAGTTTATTCCCACTCGCATGCAATCTTCGTGTGCATTTCTGTCTGCCGTCTCATTTCGTTGTCGGACAAATTGCATCGCTACGATGGGCTTTTTTTTTCCCCTCCATGGACGGGAGTATTGCGCACACTTTTGTATTGTTTTTTATTTTTCAGGACTGGGGCTTCCGTTTTTGTGCAAAAGGACCCTCGTGGCGTTAATGATGTTTTATTGTGCGTTCGGGGCCGGTTTTTCATCTTCGGGGAGATGCGCGGCTGTCAGTGCTCGCCGCGTTTCTTGTGCGTATTTACGCACGACGAGACAGCATTTTTTTTTTTTTAATGGGTGGGAGGGGGCACATTCAAGCCGGCTTTTTCCGCAGCGTTGTTAAAGTTTCACTCAAAGTGTTTCTTGGTGTCATTCTTTGAACTTTTTTTTTTTTTTTTTTTTTTTTTTTGCGCACGGACTCCAAACGCCAAGTGCGAGGTGGCGCTTTACGTGCGGGAAGGCGCGCGCCCGGTGATGCTCTCGCCGCCTCTCACTTTCTCTCTCTCTTTGCTCCCTGGCAGAATGCGATGTGCTGGATGTCCCGTAGCCACACCCTCTCACTACTGCTGTGCGTCCTTAGCCTGACTCCGGCGGCCTCAGGGGCGCGGCCAGAGACGCTGTGCGGGGCGGAGCTGGTCGACACGCTGCAGTTTGTGTGCGGAGAGCGGGGCTTTTATTTCAGTAAGTGCAACCGCCCGCGTTCCCCCGCGCGCTCCCCCGCTTATTTTTTATTCATGAAGCCGCTCTGCAAGGGCTGACCGAGCTCATCAATAAAAAAGCACCCGCGTTGACATTCACATCCTTTCCGGAAGATGCTCCCCCCCCCCGCCCCCTCCCGTCCCATTTCCTCACACCTGCAGTGGATGTTCATCCCGCTGTCTTTTGCTCAATTGCAACACATTGGAGAACAATCTCCCGCATGCTCTCTTCTCATGCGGAGCTGTACAGGTGAGAATCAAGGTGACCTCGGGTCCGCCTTTTGGAAATGGAGACCTTTAAAATTCCAGCCCCAGCGTGACTAAAAACCCTCTCCGGGCCCATCTTTTCATTTTTGTCAATCATTGTCTCCAGTGTTCATTGGGTGCAAACATCAGCTGAATTGAGCTGGCGTGCACGAGAATTTCCTCCTGCGGAGTGCGGCACCGCTGCTTAGCGGGCTAGCGGGAGCCCGAGAGAGCCACGTGCACGGCACACGGGGACTCTGGAAGCTTCTCGCAACGGCGCTCGAAACCGCTGAAAGCGAGCGGAGAAAGATGATGGCGGGTGTCGAGTGGCAGATCAGGGAAAGTCTTTAAGTGGGAGCGGGGGGGGGGGGGGGTCAGAAACTTCATGTTTTCCACCCGAGGAGAGGAAAAGTACCCAAAGAAAAGCAGGAGTTAAATCTCAGCTTGTTCCATTCCACTTGCTTCCTTCCCTCCGGTGAAACATGGCATTGACGTCCGTCCTTGTTTCTCAACCCGGAATGTGTCCCAAAAAAAAAAAAAAAAATCCCTCACAACCCCATCACGCTGATAATCGATGGGCCGGCGTGCCGCTTTGACATCCATTAGTGAGGCTTTGGTCCCGTCCCAAAGCTGCGAGAGATTTTTCCACACAACGTTTGGCAGCTGCCAATTCCAGAAAGACGTTTCTGGGAGGGATCCATGAGGGGAATCGCAGCATCTCGAGTGCTTTTGCGCTTGCATTCTTTTTCCGCTAATTGCTCACTTTATGAAGGGTTTGATCATGTGACCCCCGTGCCGGCTCAGGTGTTTTTTTTTTTTTTTTTTAGTTGTGAAGCTAAAGGTTAGCTCATTGAATCAAAGCTTTGATAACGTGTTGCTTTGAGAGCAGACAATCCGAGCCAACCCAAAGTCCTTCTGAAACAACTACTTGGGGTCTCAGTACCACCTGCGATTGATAAACATTCGAGTCGCGGTGGTCCCGGGCCGCTGCCCCCTGCGCTGGCGGAAAGCGCGCTTGCCTGCGTGCGCGAGGCGCGCTTGACTCGCCGCCATTGCCGCTCGATTGACTTGTCAGCGGGCTCCTCTCACGCCGCCGCCTGCTCACTTCATCGAGACCGCACGCCTCGCCGCCTCAGACCGCCGAGGCGTGCTCGCAGGCTTTTGGGGAGGAAGGCGGCGGCCCGCTGTTCTCAGTTTTTGCACGTCACGCATTCCTCGGAGGAGTTTGTGCAGGGGATGGAGTCGGCATTGAGCTGACGCAACACTTTTGCGTCGGCGCTTTGGACGACAAACGTTCCGCTGCTCGATGTGGCAGCTGGAGGAGGAAGGCTACGGGACCCCCCCCCCCTCCCGGTTTGCCCACGGGCCTGCCCGCGGCAATCTTTGAGCACTTGGGTGTCCTCAAAAAGGACCGCTGCCCGATGGCACTTGGGCAAGGGAACCTCAGAGGTTCCGAGCCACGCCCCTTCCCGGTCCTCGGCAAGCCTTCAGATCTGTCAGGACCACCGCGGACCTCGGCGGTTACGCCGCCGCCACCTCAGGAGCGCTCGAAGCGGCCGCAAGCCAAACATTGTAAGCAGAGCGGCCTCCGGCCAGCAGCCGAATGGCGTCAGAGTGCACCTTGCCGCTCGCTTGGCGCCGTCCGTCCTTGCCGGCGCACGCCTGCCAGGCACTTGGGATCTGGCCGCAGAGACTCCGCTGCTGGAGGGGCACCAAGCTTCTGAACGGCAGCGAGCGCTGCCCGTCCAAAACTCTGCCGGCTGCGCCCGCCAGCACTCAAGTGGTGGTGACAGTGCCAGCTTTCTGCCAGTGACGCTTGATGTTTTTTTTTTTTTTTTTTTCCCCCCATTTGGATTCCCTGTGGCGCGCTACTCGTCTTGTCCGACAACCGTGTTCTTGTCCTTCAGACCTGCGAAGAACATTAGCGTGTTTTCCTTGCTCTTGTTTTCATGGTCAAACAGATGCGGCGGCACCTTCACTGAAGAGTCCAAATCAGTTCTGTGACCGAGCTCGCCGCTTCAATTAGCTTTTTCTCTCCTGAGATGACTTGATTGATCTGATCCAGACCTCACCCACTAAGTGACACCTGGAGCCGGGGGGGTCGGCGTGGCTCTTTGCCAGTGGTCTTATTTTCCAGTTGTCTGTAACGGTGCGACCTCGTCAAGAATTTGCCGACGGTGCATCTGTGACCGGCTCGCTCGCCTTGCCCACATGCGAGGACATCACAGGACCTTAACTGCCCCGTTATTCTTTTTTTTTTTTTTTTTTCTTGCTCAAAAAGTAAAGAGGCCAGTTTTAGGAGAAGATTGCATAAAATCGAATCCGCTCTATTGACTAAAGAGGCTGATGTTAGCAGGATGATTGCACAAAAATGCTTTGTAATTAGTAGAGGGACCGAATTTTGAGGACTATTGCACAAAATGTGATGGACTGTAAATAGTAGATAATTATTGACTCTTGCGTAGTTCGGTTTACACTCAAGAGTCCCAACACTTTTTCCCGGTGGGGATCAAACAGGGATCCTGAATGACCTCCACCCAGGG